TCCCCCATCGCAGAGACGCAAAAAACAGACAACGTCTGGTTGTTCTAGCGGGTAGGTACTGTTTGAACTAAAGATTTTTTTTTTCCTGTGCTACAAACCAGAGGTTGGGACCAAGTCCTTGCTTTGCAAGTCATACGTAAGTCTCAAGTCTTTGCACTCAAGTCCGAGTCAAGTCTCAAGTCAAGACAGGCAAAGTCCGAGTCGAGTCCAAGTCAAGACTAAAAAGTGTCACGTCAGGTCCCGAGTCCTTACGTTTCTGTTTCGAGTCCTTTTAAACAAAAATAATAACAATATATTTACACAGATCACTTTGGGTTTTGGAGAAAGTATCGAGTCTTGTCGAGTCCAAGTGAAGTCACGAGTCATTGATGTTAAAGTCCGAGTCGAGTTGCAAGTCTCTTTACAGTTTGTCAAGTCGAGTCTAAAGTCTAAATCAAATTGACGACTCGAGTCTGACGCCAGTCCAAGTCATGTGACTCGACTCCACACCTCTGCTACAAACTATTGTTTTGTTTGCCATTACACCACACGGTGGTCCGCTTTCGACTGTTTTACATTATCTTCCTTCATGGCATTTTTTTTCTAGAAACAAAAAAAAAAAGAATAATCCAAATAATACGATACCCTTGACTAAAACGACAAAAAAAAAAGCAACGAATTGATGAAGATTTATGTTTGTACGGTTCAGACGCGGGGAACAGTCCTTTTCCATCAGAACGTAAACACTGTCAGAAAACATTGGTCTTTCGTCTGTAACCTCGCAGCCCACCCCCGGTATCACTACCCTGCCAATCCTACAGGTCTGCTCTGTGTATTTTTTAAGCTCAATTTTTTTTTTGTTTTTTTTCCCCCCTCTCAAGGGGGGGTTTCACACAAGCCTCAAAGAAGGTCTTTTTAATGTCACATCACAGTCCAACTGTAAGTCATCTGTGAGTGAAGAGAAGGACCAGAAGAAAGAACACAGCGAACCCAGTGAGGGGAAACAAACCCAAAGGAGATAAATGGTAGAAGAATGGAGAAATGAGACGGCCCGGGAGGAGGGTGATTAAGATCCTTTACGATGTCAGCCAAGTCATTCGTCATCAAACTGGGGCTGTTGAGACAGCCTGGATTTATGTACGATTTATGTACGACCTTTTTAATTGAGTCAGGGGTCACCCTAGTCTTTGAATTCCATTTTAACGTCCTCTATGAAGGCGCTAATATAGAATCGAAGTCATCGTCATCATTATATATTCTACCTTAATGAAGTGGTTCTCAATTTTTTTTTTTGTCATGCGCCCCCTTGGGGACAGAATATTTTTATCTGTACAAACCACTGCATAAGTTGCTGCCCCCTAGTGGCTGTAGGCTTGTCATCATTCAAGCATTACAGCATTGGTACACTTATGTCCAGCGTGCCATGTTTCTTTCGAACTATATAGCGGCCCCCGGTGGGACCCCGCCCCACTATTTGAGAAGAAATGGCACATAGAGTTAGTGACATGAAAGACTTAAAAAAATCTTCATGAAACAATGAACAGGAAAAACACCAGCTGGTCAATGCGACCGTCAGTCGCAGATTGTGTGTAACTTTGTGAGGGAGAAAAAAAAAAAAAAAAAAAAAAATAGAACTCAGAGCCAAGTTGAGCTTCTCTGTAGTTCTTATGCAGCAGCTGTTGAACATATTACCAATGTTAGGAGTGGGGAAGTCTATAAACCTAATATTTCGTAATGTATCGGAGTCATGCAACAAAGTGATGGAAAAGACAGGTAGGGCAGGAATCCTTTCGGACTGCCGTCAGACGGCTCTCTATCACGGCTCCATGCAAACCGAACGGGACTACTGCACGACCAAATCCTCCTGCTTCCTACACTTAAACAAAAATACGGATACCGTGTGGATGCTTGGATGCTAGAAACGTCCCGGTGCTACAGACGCACGAATAATTTCATAGATAGAGGAAATTGACAACAGAAATGAAAGATTATCTAATAAACCAGTAGTTCCCAAACTTGCTCTGCTGGGCCCCCCCTTGGGTTTATAAGTGATTGCGCCCCCTACTGCTTTGCATTTACATGGGAGTTTTGTCCAAAAACTCATCCGTTTTATGCTAGCATTGCCAACTTTGGTCAGTTGGCGAAAATAAAAAAACTAGAGCCTCCTTTGCTATATTATCAGATATTCATTGGTAATAGCACTGCATCCCCCTCTAGGGGGCATGCCCCCCCCCCCCACTTTGGGAACCTCTGTTTTACAGATACCCGCTCTGTCCATGTAAAAGACGAACAAGGGGGGGGTAAAAAAAAGGTCACTCGTATGATGACACGTATCATTTTCAGTAAAAGTCTTATCATCAATAATATATTCAAATATATGCAGATGACAATCACTTTCACAAACCATATACATAATGACCTTCAGCATATAAAAATCTTACAATCACTTTCACAAACCATATACATAATGATACCAAATGGAAATATTTGAACCCGCTAACAACGATTCCTGAATTCCTGCTAAGGGCCTAACGGCGTCGGCTTGAATGAACTGAAAAAAAGGCTACTGCTGTCTGACCCGGACCGGTTTGGCGTCAGTGTATCACGTAAGTCGGACTGTTCGCAGTTCCACGTTCACGTTTGTCTTTTGTCTGCAAATGTTTTTCCTGCTATTTTCGAACATCTGCTGACATCTCTCTCTCTCGCCGATCCTGTTCCGTTCAGACACCACGCGTAAGAAGAAGAGTACAGAGAGCGAAGGAAAGGACTATCACTTTGTTTCCGTAAATACCTTTGAAGAGCACATCCTTAACCGCAGGTACTGTAGTTAAGGACAAATCTGGATTGTCAATGTTTGTTCGCAATTTTTTCGCAGCGAAAAGGTTGAGGATGGGGTCAGGAATTCAATCATTTAGGTCAAACTTACAGAATGCGTTGTATGTCGGTTTACGACGTCCTCGTCCTACGGTGTACAGAAATGTATGTGTGTTGTTTCATCATTGCGACATATGGCGTTAAAGCGAATTTTGCACAGGAAGTAGTTGGCTAGCGAGTGGACAAATACGTTGTCACGCGGCGATACATGCGGAAGACGGCTTTGTTTACTTTCGAGGGTTGTACGCTGTACATTCGATTGTGCTTTCTTTAATTTGTACTTCGTGTGTGTATGTGTATGTTTCCGTTTCCTTTTGCCTTTAGGTTTATAGAGTATTGGCGATACAAAGATCACTACTACGGAACAAGTTTAGACTCCATTCACGAAGTGATTGCTCAGGGCAAAGTGTGTCTCCTCGATGTCCATCCTAGTGTAAGTATCAAGCTGTCAATGAAAGAAAAATCTTCACACCCCCCAACCTAGCCATATACCATATTTGTTGGACTCTTTCGGGAGTATAAATCGCACCAGCCAAAAAATGCGTAATGAAGAAGAAAAAAACAGCCAGCCAAAGGATGAAAAAAACGCGACTTACAGGAGTAGCAGATGCTGGTACACGAGCCTAGAGTGCCCTCTAGCGGCTGTCAGTGTGAAAATAACGATCATGTGAAATTACATATTTTTAATATATAAGTCGCACCTGAATTTAAGTCGCGAAACCCAGCCAAAGGATAAAATAAAAGCTGCGACTTATTGTCTGGAAAATATACGGTAATCCGAATATGCAACAAAAGAAACGTTTTTTTAATCATTGAAATATGTTTCCATGCTGGATCAAATGACCAGAAACAGAGGTAATAAACATAAACCGCATCTACAACAGATGACTTTCTAGGTCAACCCCGCAGCGGCAGGGTGGGTTTTTTTTTTTTTTTTTTTTTTTTTAAAGTCTAGTCCATTTCAGTAGCTTATGCAGCCCCAGAGACCCTACTTCAAATTATTCACTTTGGTGCGTCATACTAAAACAAGAAGTGATTGCCTGTTGACACTTTAATAACAACAAAGGCCCCCAGGTTTTAGTTCCTGGCAGCGGGCGCTCCATGCTGGGGCCAGAACTTGCCATGTTCAATACGAACGACATAGTTGACATGGTGAGAAGCCAGTGAAGGACCGCTCGCTGTAAGGGTGTTTGTGGTGGAGAAAGGTTGGGGTAAAACCTCCACATATTTTCCACCCTGCCAGTCAGGAGAAGAGAGGGGGGGAAAAAAAAAGTATATGCCGAGTACATTTTCCACAGTGTGCTGCGCAAAAAGTAAATGGTGTATTTTTAGAAACGTATCTTAGGCGGTAGATTAAAATCCAACGAAAGATGAGTTTCGAATAGCTGTGAAGATAGAGAGGGAGATGTCGCGATCTCTCTGGTGCCATCTTAAAATACGTAAAGGAAAACATCCGGGCAGAAACGAGGCTTAAACGACTTGTTCAGTTGTGATTCACTTAAATGTCGGAAGTACGAAAACAATTTGGTATTCGATCAAATATAATTTCTCGTGTTTGTTATTATCACGCCGACAGCCACTAGAGGGCACTATATGCATATATGCGGCTGTTTGCGTTAACCTGCCACAGTCTAATCTAAAATGTATGGTAACTCTGTACATGGGAATCCAAAAATGGAGTCATTGTTGTTGTGTGTTTTGTTTTTTTTTTTCCCAAAGATTTGATTTATTTCTTTCATGTGTGTTAGCAAATGTCAATCCTTTTCTTTTCCGTTCTGTTTCGGTCCTAACAGAAAATAGGCCATGTGTATACATGTGGATTTAAACCATATGTGGTGTTTGTAAAACCCCCATGCATTGAGGAGCTTCGTCTGACCAGACGCAGGGCAAAATCCATCCGCGATAAAGAGGACACAACCCCTACTCACATCTTTGCCGTAAGAGGAACATGACACGACACCACATTGAAAAAAACGCTGGATTAGTGCATGGTTTTTCTGACGTAAATTAGTACTAGAATCATCCTATTTATACCTAACACAAACTCAACAACATTAAATATTGGGGTTTTTCTAGTGATATTATGTTGTTTTTATTTTATTCATCAAAGGTAATTTGACAATTCAGCGATTACTACTAATACTTTTAACGCCCTATAAGAAATATCCAATGGCGCACTGCTAAACCAAAAACATCACATTAAAAGTATTCGATATGTAATAAAAAATAACGATCTTTTAGTTCCGTTTACCGGCAATTTCGCTTGCTACCGCTCACTTTTTTACGCGTAAAATCCGTGCTCGTTTAGTTGAACACAAAGCTGATGTAGTTGCAGGAATTGAAGAAAGACACAAAGAGCTTCAAAAGCTCTTTGAGCCTCTTATTTTAGTTTTGTCGGTAAGCCACAAACACGTTTAGGGAGACGCTCAAAGTGAAAAAACGTGACCAAATTAACTTTGTTTGACGGCACTTTTTATATCATCTACCCATATGATCAACTTTTAACGCAGGAGGAGGACTTCAAGGACATGATTCACATGGCCGAAATCATGGAAAACCAACACGGTCACCTGTTTGATAAGGTGATAGTAAACGGAGATATGGCCGTGGGCCTCAGAGAGCTGAAGGCAGACATCGAGAGGATGCTGAAGGCAGAAGTCCAGTGGATTCCTGCAGAGACGAAACGCTTTTCAGCAACAACGGTACGGAGGAGTTGCAGTCATTTGAGCGGCTGGATTTGAACCTCCCTCACACAGAAACTGCAGTTATTTAAACGTACGTTTAGGCCAGGGGTGTCGAACTCATTTTGCTTCAAGCGTCGCAAACAACAAATTATACGTTAAGTGGGCCAAACCAGTACGATAGTACTATGTTTTTCCACTTTGTTTCCATGCATAGAAGTACACATATATTAGATAAACCTTCATATTTAATGAAATATAATTTTACAAAACATTTCCTGAACATAGAGTGTTTGTCGTTTTTATTATTATTATTATTATTATTTTCAAAATTCATCAAGCGGGCTGGTTTTGGCCCACGGGCCTTATGTTTGACACCCCTGTTTTAAGCAACACACAAATTTGAGAACTGCTCTTGTAGTAGAAGTAGTCTTTAACGTATACTTTTTTTACAGCATATGTTTAAGGGATACAAGCCATGTTACGCCGGTGCTAAAACTTCGAATTCTAATAATTATATTTATGATTTTAAGTATTCTTTCCATTCGTAATAAAGGCCCGTGATAACCGCAGTTTTCCAGAAGTTTTTATATTGTGTGTGTGTGTGTGTGTTCTTTTCGAGTTCATCTCTTCCCATTTTTCTGTCTCGTTTTCCCTTCTCGCTCTGACCGCGAGCCAGATTTTCTGTTAGCGTTTGGTGAAAGGAAAAAGAGGGGGGAAGGATGCACTCTGAAGCAGTGTGTCTGAGCGTAATCCCTTCCCTGCCAAGTCGCAAACATCAGCATGTAATTATTCTGACAGTTGCTGCACCTCAATTAACTGTAATGCACACCAGAGGAATATTATTAGTAACAGACAGCAGGATGTACTGCCAACAACATGTTGGACAAAACGGGGACACAAATAGGATAAACAGTCAATTATGAACGGCACGGGAAAAGGACTACACCGTCAAGAGGAACGCTGCTAGAGGTTTCTGCCAGTTGCAGATGCCACCGTAAAGTAGCGATAAAAAAAAAAAAAAAAAAAAAGTATCTTTAAAGTTTAAAAGTTGACCATTTGTGATTGAGATAAACAAATTGATAAACAAATTGTATGTATTGTGCTACGAGTCGGACCAAAAGAAATTCAAGAGTCAAGAGCGGACCTTCATGTTTTGCAGTTGATATTTGTCACTTCAGCATTGCATTTACCGTAATTTCCGGACTATCCGCTACTTTTTTTTTTTACACGCTTTAAACAACAACGCGGCTAATTTATGGACTTTTACGGGCTAACGAAGCTCAAACCGCTAGCAATCAATAACTTTCTGGTAGGCTACCGTGTGTCATACTAGTAGCGTATGTCTGTCTGTGAATGGCTCTGTGCGTATATGTGCGCGGTGAAGGGAGTTAGCCCCGGAGTTACCTCTGCTGCGGACAAGCACAAAGTGAAGGGAGTTAGCCCCGCAGCTAATGTTAGCCGACGGAGGACTCTAGCAGGCCTGACGCTCCGGCTGAGCCAAAAGCATGGCGGTATAATTTCATCATATTTCTTGAGGATCTGCAGGCCCCCCCGTCTCTGAGATCATAGCCACGCCGTAAAAGACCGGAGAAAGTCCAATGAAAACTAAACCCCATTTAATGTTCAACTCAGTCCCCAATTCAAGCACGGCACAGCAAGTGTGATGTCAATTAGTCCTGGACAATTTGCCGCAATCGTGTCACTTGTCTTTTTTGGAAACATGGTAGAAGAAACGAAATATAAAAGAAATATGGCTGACGTTTAACGATACATGTACCGTTGTCTGACTTAATGACAAAACTGGCATAGAATTGTACAAACCTACAGCAGAGGAGAAAGGTAAAAGCCCCATGCAGAGTGAGAATACTTTTTTGCCGATAGCCAATATGCCGATATTGTCCAAACACTTAATTTCCGATACCAGTATCAACCGATACTAATATATAAAATGGCTGTTTTTACGCAAAACTGCGACAAACATCTCAGAACCCTACAAGTGATTCCGACATATTTGGCAAAACCCAGGCACCGCGTTATCGGATTTTCATTATCCCGATAAAACCCGATTAACACAGATATGACCTAATTATGCTAACATGGGGCCAATAATATTGGTTGGCCGATATTATTGGGCATCCCTATTAATAAGATGTATAATAAAGATAAGACTAAACAATGTAAGAAGAAAATTTGACTGATGGTAAAAATCGTGACGTGCCATATAACCAACCTTGTTGTCATGGAAACCAAAGGGAAATGTATATTGATTTATACATTTTAGTAATGTTGCGATTTTTATTACATTATTTATGATATACATGCGGACATAATTTTAAATTTTTTTTTATCTTTGCCTAATTAGATTTTATTATTTATTTTTACATTTTCTAATTTTATTATTATTTTTTGTTTTTCTTTACTATGTTCTATACTTCAGGAAGGACATTGGTTGACCTCATTGTTTCACATGTGCCTATCTATGCAGTGGGACGGCTGTGGAAATGAATACAAAATAATTATGAATAGGGGTAACTTTGGTTTCCTTAAATGATTGAAATCTAAGACGCTTTCAATCAATTTTCTTCAACGAAAACGAACGAGATTTGTCTTTAAAGCTGACTTGACAACTTGTTTTCGCAGTGCATTCGGATGCTGATGAACAGCAGAAAGAGATATATGTCCCTTTTCGGTGTTTTCTCGAGGTCTCCCGGCTGCTGGACGTAGGTGTGTTCCCGGCTAAAGTCAACAGCACGGCGGCTGCACAGATCACAGAGGGACCAGAGTAAATCGTGCGAACGCGCACAGCATTCTCCCCGACCCGCTGGAGAGGAATGTGGGTGAGGAATTTACTGCACCTAACAGATGCCTCTGCCCCATGTGTTTTTTAGCTTTAAAATCCTAAAAAAAAAAAAAAAAAAACCCTTAGCACCTCTGACACTGTTGAATTATACAAAAACAAAGATGTGAGATTTGAAAAGTTGTCTTGTACGGTATATTATAGTGCTACTCCGACTTTGGCCAGAGAGCCGCTAAGTCTCAAATCATTGTGGAATAAAAAAAAAAAAAAAAAAAAAAAATCTTAAAAAAAAGTCGAGAGATTATTAAGTTATGATTGTGCACGAGAAAGATGTCCAAACAGACTTACATAATGCATGTTTAGACACTGTCGGAGAAGCACGCATGGTTGACAGCTAAAGCTGAACACATCCTGTCTTCGACCGCTAGGCTTCCTGCCAACAGGTTGTCTTCTGGTTACACTAATGAAAACACGGAACTTCTGCCAGACTTGGTTTTCGTAATTGCTCACAGTCCTCGTGAGAGGACGAGCACTGACAAATATGTGCGGAGCCCGTTTTTACACTGCGCCCACGGACAATTAAAAAAAAAAAAAAAAAAAAACCCCAACAACAATACAATGTTTATCTTTTAAGGTTTCCCAAAGGGGCTGGGTGCACCCCCTACGGGGGAGGGTGGGGCGCAGTACCATTGCAAGTGGGGCGTAGACATATCTATCATCCATCC